TATATACACATATATACATGTGTGTGTGTGTGTGTGTGTGTGTGTGTGTGTGTGTGTGTGTGTGTGTGTGTGTGTGTGTGTGTGTGTGTGTGTGTGGGTGGTGTATGTAATATGCTATTCTCGTATATATTTATATTTTATTTTACAGTATACACTCTTGAAAATGTTTGCTAAATATCTTATCTGATGATGAGCCCAGAGACACACGTTTTATACACAGGGAGAATAATATAACAGATACCTTTTGTAACATAACACCATTATATGTGCGTATATGTTACACAATTTATATATTGAAAGATTGTTTCTTTTATTAAATATGTGGCATTTAACATTAATTCATGTGCTTACGCTCATTTTGATATACCGTGTGTGTGCGCAAGCGTGCGCACGTCCTAATTATTAATTATTATATTCTTAGGCACGAAATACTTGCACTTGATTCCTATCTTAAATAAAATCAATAAAATAAAGTTTTTATCTGGAGAAAATAAAGGTCTTTAATAGTGCATGGAGGATGTAAAAAAAATATATATATATATAAGGAATACAAGAACAAGAATGTGCTGCAGAAGAATCACTCACATAGAGCCTCCACCTGGATGAATTGGCCGTCGCAGAGCTCTGGGCGATGTGCTGTCGCGACGACTCATAGTTGGTGATCCACCAGTTACAGTGCTACTGTACTGATTTCTGGTTAATACCAGTCCTCTGTACACGGAAATTGAAACAAACATATGTCAGAGAACTGTATATTCACATACAGAATTACTACTGTAAATTTTCCTGCACACTGTATCATTTTTTTTCTAAGAACATTGGAGTCTAAAAGACATATACTTACTTTAGGCTACCCGGTGCACTGGGAACTCTAGTAAGAGGATGATTATGATTTTGATTTTGATCATCTGCTTTCACATTTTCCGGACTAGCGTGTATACCATAAAGAAGTTCCTGCGGTTGTGTTGTTCTTCTTCTAACTTTACTATTGCGCTGTCTTTCTTCACCGAGTATAATTTGGCCGTAACTTTCACTGTTTCAGACGATATAAATAGAAATGAGATACGTATGTATACATAAATGTATACATTAATGTAGAAAATGAATATCGCAATTAGTTTGTACATAGAAAGAAATAAATAAGTAATCTCGAATTGGGTTGTGTAAATATATGTTGTTTGAATTACACTTTTGAAAGTTTTTCTTTTATATTTTTTATCATCACAATTCGAAAGTAAAATGTTTAGAAATTATTTAGAGAAATATCGCTTGACTTACTTGTCGGGAGAGGAACTCCTTGAACTGGCTGGACTATAAGCTAATACATTATTCTGATTATTTGTGAGAGATAAAAGATCTCTATCGCGTAAAACATGCTCCAGTAATTGATGTTGTACATCGCTTTCTTGTGCAACTTGATTGAGCCGTGATTCCATATCTCGCACCTCGAGCTGTTTTTGTGCGGCTATGCAACTTTGCTCCACGGTGAATGCGAGCATTCGTTGAAGTAAGTATTGTGCTTCGTCTACCGTTCGAATTGTAGAGATGAGCGTTTCGACACCGGGTTCACC